GAGGGTTTAACCTCAGACCAGCCTCCCCTCCCGGTATCTGTGAGGGTTTAACCTCAGACCAGCCTCCCCTCCCTCCTCCCATCTCTCTGTTCAATCCTTTTCTCTCTATACCACACAGACTCTCACTCTTTCCCCTGTCCTCATTCCCTCTCTCTGCCCCTCCCTCTTTCCCTTCTCTCCTCCTCCCTCTATCACACACACATACACACACACACACACACACACAGGTTTGAAATTATATCTTTGTGGGGACTCTCCATTCATTTCTATGGGGAAAGCTCTAATCCCAACATGACGACCTTAACCCCTACTCAGCCCTGACCTTAACCATGAGTAACCAAACAAAATATGAGACTTTTTTGTTTTTGATTGCATTCACAGATCTTTGTGGGACCTGAAATATGTAATATAAACATAATCCACACACACACACACACACACACAGACACACACGTGCGCGCTCTTTCTCTCTCTTTGGCCTTCCCTTTCTCCCTCGCTCCCTCTCTCCGCCCCTCCCTCCCTCCTCATTCCTGCTGCTGCCTCATGGGTGGTTCAGTTGCCCCGGTTCCCACGTGAGGAGCAGCAGGATGTCGTCGGATAGCAGGGGCAGCTCCCCCCCAGGCCCTCTGCCCTGGGCCCCGCTCAACCGCTACCCCAGCCCCCGGGGGCCCGGGACGTCACGGGCAGCACCACGGCAGGGCATGCATCTGGCTCCACGGCCCCCCCTGCGGAGCAGACAGGTGGGGAAGCTGTGAGGGGTGACGCAGGTGGGGCGCGGCAGGGGGGATTGGGACGGGGTCTGCTTGTGGTCCATTACCCTGACTGACGCGTGCATAAAAAGGGCAAAAAGTCATGGAGGAGCTTTCGAAAGCGGGCGTGGTTTGGCTTTGTGCTGCAGGGTCCGAAAATGAACTCACATCATTCTGGATTGTATAAATTTGGGAGACCAGGAGCACTAATATGATACCATGGATAGGGCTCCAAATTGGACAACATGTAAGAATTATTTCAGTAGTACAACTGCAGACTTATGACAGAGCTCTAACGCTGTGGGATTTGATGGCTACCAGCTCAACTCCTGAGCACAGACTTCACCTCAAAGCTGGATTCCCGTCATCATCATAATTGTCGTCATTATCAAACGCGTGCGCTGCTCGTTGTGGTTGTCATCATTGTTGGTGGGTTTTGTTTTCGCTTTTGTCCTTCCTACGGACTGTTTAATAATGCACCAGTTGTTCAGACTTCTTGTATAATATTCTGTTTTAAGTACAGAGTTACTGGAGCGTTCCGTGTAATGTCTGGCCCTTTGGTTTTCCCCGAGCAGCTGCTTTCGGACAGTGGTGTCCATGAAAGCCCCGCGGCAGTCGTCGAATTGGAAAATCTGGGCAGATTTCTGAGAAATCTGACACTTTTGGAACTGAGGGCAGTAACGAGAGTGATGCACATCAAGCGTTTTCTCCCAATTAACATCTGTTTCTATCTTGCCTGTTGATTTCCAAGTAATCATGGTGGCTTCCATAGATTGCTTGTTCCTTTTGAGTGTAAATCGACGGATAGGTTGTGAATAGCTGGAGACCTTTTGCGAAGTGACTTGATGTTTGACTTGTGACTCAGTGACCAAACTGTCCTTCGGCAACTTTTTGAGTGACTGAGATGCCGCTGAGGTCAGTCGCCAAAGAAAGAATCGACACATTTATGGTGGGGGGGGGGGGATTCTGCGAAAGGCCGTCATGAGTTATCGCAGTAATGTCCAAGATGGTGGCTGGCCAGGTCCCTCCCATCCAGGGGCAATTCTTTGGAAGGTAGGGGGCATAATTGATACCGAGTTGTCAACCTTATCAATAACCAAAGATACGTTTTGAATCAGTGAGTGACAGAGAATGGGGGCCCTCTGGGGGCCTATCAGCTTTCATCTGTGGCCCCCCCTTGTCTAGACACTCCCTCTTCTGTTTGGGCATCACGTCTCCCAGGAGGCTGTAATCCTGTTGGGCGTGATGAGAGCCCTGCATCAGAATAGCGCTGTGGACACACTGAGGTGCTGGAGTGACCTCAGGTGTCGGGCCGGCCGTGGCTGGACGGCCCATTTTCCAATAACAGCACCGGGTCTGCGGCTCTTAATCCATCGCAGGCTGTGACCCCCTGTCCCCCGGGAGGGATGCCGCCTGCCTGGGATATAAAGCTGATTTTTTGAGCCTGACCCATAAAAGCTTCAGCCTCAGGTATTGGCTAGAAAAAAGAAAAACATCAGTGAGGTTAGTTGTCTTTCCAGAGGGTGTCTAATCTTGCCATTAGAAGTTTATCACTTTCTTACAGGCTTTATGTTTGTGGGTGGGCAACCAGTTGTTCAGTCATGGTACAATTAGCTTAAGTTAATTACATTTTTAAAAGTCATATAGACATAGAAATCTCCCCAGCTGGCTTATGGGGTCAGGTTGATGGTTGGGTTGGTGCATGTTAACCCCCGGGCACTGAGACCACACGTCCCTTACATGCGCTGACTGTGTCATGTAATCATTTCTTCAGGCTCACCTGGTGGCCGCCTTCGAGAAGAGCCTGGCTAACATGACGTGTCGCCTGCAGAGCCTGACCATGACGGCCGAGCAGAAGGTGGGTCACATCCCATCACCTGCCCTCACACCTGACAGCTTTTCACACATGAGGTTAAGTGCCATGCTCAGGGTCACGACCCCGAAGCTCGGCCTGGGACTTGAACCAACAGGCTTCTGACTCACGTCCTTCTCAGCTGATTCCCAAGGGATCTTGAACCAACAAGCTTCTGACTCACATTTTCCCAGCTCATCCCAACTTCAGCTACAGCTGGATTCCCATTTCTAACGTAACTATGTTTATGATTCATCTTGAGACAATCTGAAGGTACGAACTGAAAAAGATGTCACTTAGTGAAAGTAGAGATACCATGGCAACAGCAAAGTTTACCAAACCCACTATCATGCAAAGCCTTTGTTATCTTTTCCACCCAGCTGTGTTGATCTGTTTCCGAGGTATAACTTCTTAAATCCTTTAATTGTTTACCTTATTCCGGCCTGTAGGGTAAGGTAGGTTATGCTCCAACCTGAACCTCAGGACCAGCACTAATGCGCTAAAGAATGCACAGTGGTGATTTAATTAAATACGGGCAGAAAAGCGGTCAGCCCAGGTTACTCAGGTGACACGCTGCAGGTCCTCGCCACGCAGGCGATTACATCTGGAAACCTCAAACAAGACAGCCCTGGGCACAGAAACGCGGGTTAGCCGGGGGGGGGGGGGGGGGGGGCGCTTAAGTTGCACCTGCCTGAGACAGCGTGCGATTTGCTCACCTGCTTCCGTCGGGGCCACGGTAGCCGCACAGGGGGGCCCTCGGCGCGTTTAATCCCCGTTAAATTGAATGACTGGGATTTGTGAGGGTCGTCTTTGTTGAGTCGGTGGAGGAGCCAGACAGGCATCTGATTAAAAGGGAAACACTATCGCGGCCGCAGAGCGACCCTACGACCTGCCGTCTGCATGGCGGTTAGAATGTAGCGTAACTGGGGATGGCGCATAAGTAAGGATTAATGCATGACAAGCCGTGTGTTAAACGTCTTTAAACGCACTGCAGTGGAGGTGAGCGATGGCCCGACGTGCATGACGTGCATTTTGCTTAGTTTCCATTTATTTATAATTCTATCTGGGATTTAAAGCAACATTTGTTAGTTTTAAAGATTATAATCATGCATTGATTTACTACCCCGCTTGCACTATGTCTGTGGTTATAGAAACTAATCAACACCCTTCTGACCAATCAGGTTCGAGAATTCAGCAGGGCTGTAGTATAATGAGCATTAAATGTCAATGGTCGTAGTGCTCTCCAAAGCTGACCTCAGGTTTCTGTGAGTGGGGTGGGGGGGGGGGCACAGTTGAGAGCCGTGATGAAAACTGGATTAGGTCAGTCATGCACATAGATTAGCCTTTCTTTGAGAGTTAGCCTGCTAAGTGAGTTTAATTTCAAACAATATATCAAGATGACTATGACCAATTGCAGTGAAAACTTTAAATTTCAATTCATTATTGAGCCTCCCACGTGCAGATGCCTTGTGCAGCCTGTTGGGGGCCTCAGCGTGCTGACCGCCTGCATACGTGTGTCCCCAGGAGTCGGAGCTGGCCGAGCTGAGGGAGACCATCGAGGCGCTGAAGACCCAGAACACGGACGCGCAGACGGCCATCCAAGTGGCCCTCAACGGCCCAGACCACGCCCAGAAAGGTAGGCTCCTCCCAGTCCAGAGGCACCGCTCGGCATTGTGGGAAAAGGTGGCCCACCTATGCCCGTGCTTTGATGGGACACCCATAACCCACAATTGAGCTTAAGCAGAAGTTTGAGTTAATGGAGCTATTTATGCCCTCCCTACCCCCCCCCAGACCTGCGTATCCGCCGGCAACACTCCTCCGACAGCATGTCCAGTATCAACAGCGGTGCCAGCCACTCCAGTGTGGGCAGTGCCACCGACGTGGACGCGAAGAAGAAGAAGAAGAAGAACTGGGTGAGTGGGGGGACTAAAGGCCAGAGCAAAGGGGTCATACTGAAGACCTGGCGGTGGCGAGCTGGTGTACTCTCTAAGGGTTTCTTTTTGGGGGGGGCGCAAAGTGGCCCCATTGGCCAGCCCGACCCTCGGCACCCCGGCATGAGAAATCTCACAGCTCCCTCTTTCAGGCACATGGGCTGATTGTAATGAGATAAATCCAGCATGCAAAAAAAAAACAACCCAGTTGCAAACATGTAATGAGTGGCATTACCCAGAATCCTTTGCACTGCCGGTGAGCGAGCTTGGAACAGATGGTTGTGTACAAGGTCACGCTTTCATCGCTGTCTGCTGTACACATGTGAGCCGCGCTGCTCACATTAGGGTTTGCATTAGGGGGAAGCAAACATCCTGGTGATTAGTTACACAGACAGCGAAACAGCACCTTCCTCGGTACCTTTGCAAGAACAGTGCAAGAATGGTCCTCACTGCACCGACGCCATCGAGCCAATTTGGAGAATCTGATTGAGTGTCTGTGAGGAAGCAAAAATCGCATTCAGCATCATGAGACTGAATCAGCGCTCGTCATGGAGTCTGTATAAAGAACAGGAGCAGGGGCAAAGACGGGAGAGGCGTTCGCCTTTGAACTTAAAGTCCTACCTGCTTTCAGGACTGGATCCGTACTTCATCCAAACGGGCAGGCAGCTTTAGTCAGAAGCGAGCTCTGGGGGTTGGAAATCCAACTCCAATATCCAATCCAATATCCTCTGCAGTAGTTTTCTTCCCCTGAAGTGATGCTTTATTTGACATTTTACAAGTATGGGTACAGGTACACTGGAATGCTTCTTTTTAGATATCCCATCATGCTCTATTTTTAAAGACACACACACGCATATAGTAGCGAGAGTGAAGCTTAGGGAACATTAGGTCAGGTGTTCGTCCGGCGTTTTGCAGGTGGATAAGGGCCTTATTCCAATCAGCACAGGATTTGAACCAGCGACCTTCCAATTACAGGCATAGATACCAACTCTGAAGGCTGACCCACATAGCGCTGAGCACGTACCCCAGCCTGAAAAATGCCCCCCCCCCCCCCGCTGACCTGTGGCAGCGCCAGAGAGCCATGCCACACGCAGAGCCCCGGGAGTCAGCTCCGTCCACTAACCCGTGCGGCACCTTCTGTCTCTCCAGCTCCGCAGCTCCTTCAAACAGGCCTTTGGTAGCAAGAAGAAGTCGACCAAACCGCCGTCGTCGCACTCGGACATCGAGGAGCAGACGGACTCCTCACAGCCGTCGTCGCCTAAGCTGCAGCACGCTGCCAGGCAGGGCAGCATGTCCAACCTGAGAGCCTCGCCCTCCAGCTCAGAGTGAGTCTGTCCACACACAGCAGACACACACACACACGCATGCGTACACGCTCACACACGCATGCGCACACACACACGCGCGCACACACACGCATGCGCACAAACACGCACACACACACGCAGACACACACAGACACGCATGTGCACACACACGCACACACATTCATGCGCACACGCACACACACATACATGCACACACACGCACGCAGACACACGCACACATACATACATGCACACACACACGACAGACACCCGGCATTCCAGCGCCATCCCAAACCTCACGCAGCCCAGCTCTTTATTCTCCGTTTTCCTGTCCTTCATTCCTCCTCAGCCTCACTCCCTCTTTTTTCGCTCACTCACTCTCTCCTTCACTTCTCTGTCTGTCTGTAGCAAGTGTTTTTGCGATAGCAAGTCTTCTCCCATTTGGATGCCAAAGAGGAGGCAAAATGGTCACGTGATCTACAAGCACAGATCTCGGTAACACGCTGCATGGGTCCTGCGTGGGGAGTGTCTCTCTCACCTGCCTGCCTCCTAACACCATGCGTGTGGTCACATGACCCCGCCCACGTCCTCACCTTAACACCTCAACATGGTACTGAAGCTGAAAAGGCAGGGGTGACCACACCCTCCTTGTGCAGCGACAGAACCTGTTCCCAGCTGGGTGTCCATCCTTGCTGGGCACCCCCAACCCTTGTTAGCCACTTAGCAAATCACCTCCCACCACAATAGTAATTTTTTAACACTGGGGAATGCCTCACATGTCCATCAGCAAGGGTTCTAGCCTGTCCCCCGACTTCTATCCTAGGGCTTTGGTGGCTATTTTCTGCGGATGGTAACGCTAACATTTGCTTTAATTTAGCAGACACTTTTATCCAAAGCACGGTTTTCAGGAAGTAGGGTCACATAATTCCTGGAGTGATGGGGATTTAAGGAGCCCGATTGTAACATTATTCTGCTAACCCAGGGATTTGAACCCATGAACCCATGATCAATGACAGGCAGAGTCCTCTAACTCACTGAGCCACACGCCGCCTGGGTTTGAGATTAGCAGCTGGATGCTGCTGTGCATTGTGGGCTGCCTGTCGCTGGTTGAAGATGACCGACCGTGTGACCTGCCTGTGTCCTGCTTGCTTTTGCTTAACCTCCAATCAGTCACGAGCTGTAGACGCACAGTGTACAGTCTACTGACGTAGCGCTCGGGTCAGTCTCACCCCACCCTGGATTGTGGTTTCGCTTGCCCACGACACCCTCTGCTGGCCACGTGAAAACACGCGTGTCCCTCCCTTCAGACTGTGCGAGTGCACGGAGGCAGAGGCCGAGATCATCCTGCAGCTGAAGAACGAGCTGCGGGAGAAGGAGCTCAAACTGACCGACATCCGGCTGGAGGCCCTGAGCTCCGCCCACCACCTGGACCAGATCCGCGAGGCCATGAACCGCATGCAGGTGGGTGGGGGCGCAGCCGGGGGGTGGGGCGAGGGCGCACCTTCAACTCAGCCCTATAACACTCACTATTTCCATATCAGTGCACCACTATAAAAAACTTAAGGAAAAGCCAGTGAACTTTGTGGAAAAATGGATACACAAGCAAAAGGTATTTATTGATTCATTTACTGTACAGACTGGTCCTGGGTTAAGAATGTCCAACTTACGGACAACTCATAAAGCCTATTATATTAAAAAGTAAATACAGTCGTTCATAATAAGAAATGCATGAACAATTTTGTGATGCTCATGAAAACATCGTGCAGTTTCAGTGGTTCTTCAGCTCCAGGTACAGTACAGTACCAAATGTTTTTACTTTTATTATTACTGTATAATTATAACATAGTCTCATTATTTTTCTGACTTGCCTGCAGATTTGACTTAGACAGACTTAGGGAACAGATCTCATTCATAACCTAGGGACTGCCTGTATTTGGAATACAAAACAATTCCCTCTACTCTCTCTTTTCCCCGCCTTTCTGCGTAACTTCCAAGTTAGTTCTGGGGTTTGTGGTCAACCATTCAAGTCCATAAGCCCCATCCAGTAGTTCTTGGTCAAACGAAAATCAGCTACCCCAGAGTAGGAACAAAAAAAAATGTTCAGGAAGTACCTCCCAGGAACTTCAATCAGGCTGAGTTCCATCGGTGGAAACGTGACAGAAGTTCCTGGTTCCTAAAAAAGTTTCTGTTGTGTGAAAGGCCTCTGTCCGATCTCCCTGTGGGTTGGGATGTTATGTTAGCTGGAGGGCATGTCTGCATCAGGGTGGGGCATCCTGCCTGTCAGTCCCGGCTGGTTAGCGACGCTCGCTCACACTGTCCTTTCTGAGGCTGTGCCGTGGATAATTACTTATGAATTACGC